AAAATTTAATAAATTAGTTTAAAAAAGATATAATTATATATTTTTTATAGTTCTGAATATTTTTGTTTAAAAGATTACAATAGGTTATCTTAATAAAATTTTGAGTAATTTAGATTTGTTTTTTATTCAAAATTGTCTATAATTGTCCACAATTTGTCCAAAGCTGTCCCTTGCCAACACTGCCTTAAGGTATTCTATCAGTTTTTATAATTATAATGTTCTCTCAAATTTCTCAAGTTTATTCTTGAGTAAAAAGTCTGCAATATAGTAGACATGTTTAATCTTAGCTTGAATAACCAGTAAAGCTACCTATTTTTAAAAATAAAATAATATTAAATAAATATATTAAACAAATAAAAATATAAATAAATTTGTTATTATTATGCTTTATAAAAAATAATATCGATCACTTACTTAACTATAATATAATCAAAGCATGCTTGATAATATTTTTTATAAAGCATTTTAAAATTAAAAATAGGTGCTGCAAATTAAAACAAGGAAGTAAATATCTCAGTTTTCACTGTAATGAACTTAATTTTAAAAAACTATAATATAATTATAATATTACATAATTAAATCACAAATATAATTAGTTCGTGATAGTGAAAATATAAATATTTACTTACTTGTAGCACTCAAATCACAAATACTTTTTTACTATGTATTTAATCTATTTATTTAATGCTAAAACTTATTTAATTATTTTTTTTAAAACAAATAAGAAAAATTACATACTATATCATCATGTATTATTCATTAGGTTAGAGTAAGAATCTAAATTTGATAAAAAAGATATAAAAAAATTATTTTAATATAATATATATTATTACAAACCAACATTTTAAATAAATATGCCTATATATATATATTTTTTTTTTTCTTTTTTTTTTTACTATTTTTAGATTAATTTTAGAATTCAAAACTCTGCTTTAGATGCAAGCTTTTCTCTTAATGGTTCTTGCATCCATGATCGAAGGCACTAGGCTGCTCTTATAGTCTTAGACGCCAAATTGGACCTTTTATTTGTGATCATGTTTTCACCTGAAGAGAAGGCACATTCAGAAGTGACAGAGCTTGCTGGGATTGCTAAGTAATCATGAGCCATATGAGCAAGTTGAGGAAATTGTATCTGATGTGTCTAAATCTCATATTAATATATTCATTATATTAGGTTATATAAAGTTAAAGTTTTGGTTCTCATAATATAAAATTTTAAAAAAAGTGGCCTGGTATCTAGCTTTTAATTTTATTTTCAAAAAATTATATATAATTTCTTTTTTTAAATTAATTTTTAAAGAAAGCTACCCAGATAGCGAATATATTTAAATTTCTTCCTTAAGTTTAGCAAATTTGACCCAGTCGGTTATGAAAACCAATAAAATAATTTTGCTTAAGCTTACATAATAGAGTATTAGCTATACTTACTTTCCACCATGACAACACATCAATTTCTCTATTGGCTAGCTTTTCTGAAATATAGCGATCAAGTTCATCAATATCTTCTTTATCGTCTTCAAAGTTTGCATCTAGTAAAGAGCATGTATATGATTTTATAGTATTGCTAGATATGCTAGATAATATATTATTGTTGGGGGATGCTATATATTTAGTTTCAAAAAGATCACGCATTCTAAAAAAGTATAAATTTATTATACTAAGTTGGAAACAAAAGATACTGGTTAAAAAATTATATTTTAACTAAATAATATCTCGTAACATATAGTGCAAATTATAACTTAATTACCAAGTAATATATATATTTAAATATATTTGCTAGTAAAAATATATTTAAATACATATAT